TAGTTTTTCCTGTGACTTATTTGCAGTATGATAAATGGTAGGAGCATAATATACGCTCCCAATGTTTTGTTGGTCTTTTTTTGTAAATAATTACATTTTTTTGCGGTTTTATTTATTTATTTATTTTTGTATCTTCAGATCTATGACGTCATCAAATACTTTAGTTCTACTGAGGTTTTATTATGTTAATGCAGAGTTTAAAAATTATATACTCGTTCAACCCCTATTACAGACAGTGGTCTTAATGGTTACAGACAGTGGTCTTAATGGTTACAAGCAGTTGTCTTAATGGTTACAGACAGCTGTCTTAATGGTTACAGACAGTGGTCTTAATGGTTACAGACAGTTGTAGGGATGTAGGGACAGCTTTCGCTTTAATATACTACTAATTAATTATTCTTAAAGCGAGTTCAAGCACAAAGAATATTAATTGTCTAATTAACATGGATTCTTTCTTTTTCGAGTTAAATTTCTGTATTGTGACCAAGATAACTTGAGAGTGGAGTGTTTAATCAGTGACATGAGACGCCATTTTGTCTTTGACCCATCAGAATAAATGCGGTCATTTAACAGAAATTTAACATCAAATATGTACACATTGATTTGCTGATCTGTTTCTGATTAATAAACTTGGCACGATTTACTAAACAAGACAACAGAAGATTACTGATTGAGACTGATTCATCTCTGAAGGCATCTAGCTTGATTTACTGGCGAATAGAGAAGTTTAAAGAGAAGGAAAAGCTTTAAAGAGGAAGTTTAGATGGATGAAAGTTGTGTTGAACCAGAAAATGGCACCCTTCCTCCGGTACACTTCAGGGCGTGCAGTGACTTTGTTACCTTAGCAGAGGATACATCCACTCCAGAACAGAGGTCCATTGGCACACTCCCTTTTCAGCGTCTCTGGTCAGAGTGGCTGGGGTCATCAGAAGTCGTGACGAAGTACTCACTTCAACAGAATAAGCTTCCTTAGAAGTTGAGCTTTTAATGCTCGGGTTGAGTCACAGCCGAGGCAGGCTGTGACTACGCTAGAATGGAGGGACCCTTGGCACATGGTCAAATCCATCCGCTACTTAGTTGACTTTCAGTAAGAACTGAAAGTTCCTGTACGACTCGCCATCAGACCGAGTCTCATCTTCGACTGAAAGTTCCAGGAAGACTGGGAAAGACTGCGAAGACTCCGAAGACTTGGAAAAAGACTGCAAAGACTTGGAAGACTTTGGAAGACTGGAAAAAGACTTGGAAGACTTGGAAGACTCGTGAAGACTGAATAGTTCCAAGAAGTGTTGCCTTTTAAAGGGTATCCGCTTCCTGTCACTTGGTACTTCCTGATTGGTTGAAACAACCAGCAGGGGTGTTGTTTTAGTGATGTCAGAGGGTCACTAGGAGTCAGTAAGACAGCAGAAATGTTTTAAGAACGGTTAGTACAGACAGAGAAATATTTTGAAGAAATGAGAGGATGCAGGTGCCAGCCAGTTCTTATTTACTGTCTGAGAGTTTTAAAAACAAGGCACTTTGTTCTCATAACTTGTCTCTGACTTTCGACCGACATCAGGTCCACTCCTCACACAGACAGAAGAGTGAATGCACACTTACTTCGTAAATAGACATTTACTTGTATGATCGAAGTCTAATGAGGTTTAAAAATCATTAATACTGTTTCACCGTTGATTTAAATGAGTGGTTTACTTCAACATTTAGAAATGGTATGAACTAAACACACTTTTGATTATCAAGATATCCTAAAATAGTAATGATAATAAAAAAAAAGAAGAGTGTTCTTTCACTTGATTAATTCAGGATACAATTAAATAGTCTCTTGATGAGGTAATTTGTATTTCTGGATTCAAATCAATGAAATAACAGTTCCTGTCTCCTGAAGGTTCTCAGAGACAGATTGATGTCGGAGGTCTAGTTCACTACACAGTTATCTTAATGGTTACATTGTCTTAATGTTTACAGACAGTTGTCTTAATGGTTACAGACAGTGGTCTTAATGGTTACAGGCAGCGGTCTTAATGGTTACAGACAGCGGTCTTAATGGTTACAGACAG